GTGCTGGGGTCAGATTACCCCAGCCAGGTTTTTGTCCCATCTCCTCTTAAATACCTCCAAGGAAGGGAACAGCACCACCTCCCTTGGAAGCATATTCCATATTTTGGCAACCCTCACTGTAAAGAATGTTTTCTTTATGTCCAGTCTAAATTTGCTCTCTTTCAGTTTGTGGCCATTGTTTCTAGCTACCTTGATAGGTACCCTGGTAAACATTGTATCCCCTATTTCCTGCTGTCCCCCCAATAAGTTTGTAGATGGCTAGAAGATCACCTCTTAGCCTTCTCTTGCAGAGGCTGAAGAGATTCAGGTCCCTCAGCTATTACTAAAAGCTAAAAATTTGATACTACATCACAGTAATCATTGGGAGTGTGACTCTCTCACTTCGAATATCTGTTCCCGTGCTACCTTGGCACGGGCACCTGGTGGTAGGCGTGGTGAGGCTTTGTTCAACTTCTGAAAGGGGCCTCGATCACCCCAGGGAAGACCCCAGAACTCTCCTGCCATGACTTTGAATGTACCTTCAGTGGTGGGGTTCCCCATTGGAGGTCCCTCGGGATCAAACGCTCCTCCTGATGGATATTCTTGGGGCTCCATCTCCCCTATACCCCTTCCATGTGCCAACCTCTGACAGGCCACCTGATCTCAATGCGGTCAGCCCTCTGATCCTGATGATCTTTACTTCTCATGCCCCTTTGGTATCAGATCCTAGTCTTTTCTTCTTTCCTGCGGGTTACAGGTCTGCTGTGGGTTCACCCCTTTGAGGGTGCCTCTCCCGCTGCATGTCAGCTGCTTGTTGATTCTCATGAGCAGCCCATGTATCAGGGTGGCACCCTGATCCCCTCACTATAGGCACAGAGAAAATAAGGACAAAATAGGAAAACTGCAAAGGAATACGCACATGCAAGAAAGATATGAAACAGGAATACATGAAGAAAAGATGGCGGGTAAAGAAAAAGGGAAGATCAGGCTAAACTGCCTTTGCCCCTGTCCTACCTTAGAGTTTGTGTCTGCCTGTGTCTCCCCATGCTGCTCCGCTCTCAGCTTTCCCTGAGGGCTTCCTCTATCCCTTCCCCGATCAGCTCCTTTCTGGTGCTCTGGGGCTGTGGGTGTCTGGTGGGGAGAGCCTCCGTCATCCCCTGTACTTCTGCCACTCTTCCCAGAGTGGAATCTTCTCCTGCACACCGGTGCTGCCCGTGACCAGTGTGGAGGTGTGTTATAGTCACTGCTGCCTGAGATGTTTTTCCCCAGGCAGGGTCTTCCTTCACATGCCGGCGCTGCCTGCCGCCAGCATGGAGAGCCTCTACAGCGTCCGTTGCTTCTCCTGCTCTCTGCTCCTGCTGGCTGGTGTCCACTTTTATTCTAGCCAGCCGGCGATTGCTCGTGATGTCGCCTGCCAATCCCAGCTGTAGATAAGTGCAGCTGATGAACTGTGCAGGCTTCTCTCTTTGGCGTTGTTTGTCCTGTGTCTGGATACCTAAAGTGGGTGAGTAACTCTTGATTTCAGGGTCTTTCTTCTGTGGGTGTGTAGCCTGTGTCCCGGGTCCCCCTATGGAGGGGTTTTTTTGCTCCCCCATGATTGTACCCCTGGGACAGGGAGAATTGCCATTGGATTAAGCAAAAGCAAGCTTGGACACAAATGGAGTGAATGGGAGAGCTGAATGAAACTTTTCTTTGCTGAGAGTACAGACATTTGATTTTTTGCTTTCCTCTTATCTTCAAGCCATGCATCATGTTGATAATCTGTGTTGCATAATCCAGTGCTTGTGTGTTTTTTCTAACTGTTGTTCTCCCCTCTGTTTTTGCAGTGATTTTTTTCCCTATCTTCTATCCGCTAAAAGGCAGATGTGGGGTTTTATCAGCACCTTTATCAAGAATACTTCACTGAATGGGATGCTTTAAAGCAAGGCTACTACTTGTTTTTTGTTTGTACGGGTTTTTTTGTTTTTGTTCTTTGTTTCCCTCCCACATTATGACTTTACAAAATAGCTTTCAACCTGAAGGATCTCAAAGCTTCTTAGCAGCTAGTATTCAAGTCACAGACAAGGATCACATCATCCACAAATGGAGGAGATTAGCAACATGCTGCTGTGTTACTCAACATCACAGGGCGGGCAGTTTAAGAACTTATTGTCCAGCTGAAACTTCAGGGAGAATTTAAGAAGGCAAAAAAGTAATTAATTGAATTGGATTTGGCCAGGACAGAAGCTTTAATATGTTGTATCTTCTTCTTTCCATTTCAGAGCAGCTTCATGGATATGGGCAACAATACTATAACCCTGCCATCAATTCCTTTCAGGGCTTGTTCCTCCATTCAGCATAATTCAGTCATGGTAGTATCCAGCCATCAAGTCAATGGTCAGTCTTCAGGTTGTGTTTGCATGATTTTCTTTGCCATTCTATCACCTGTTTGTCTCCCACTGTGTCCCCTCCACCATAATTTTTTCAATTATAGCCAGTCTAATACCTTGATTTCATATCCTGCTCTCTTTCCAGATCCTTTATTTGTCTCAGAATCACTCCATTTCAGACCTGCCATCTTTCCAAGAGCTCTCATCTCTACTGCCTCCAGGCTTTTGATGTTCATTTTATTTAAAGCTGCTATTTCCAGTCCATAGAGTAATACTGTTATCATTGTTTTGATAAATATGCACTTTGTTACCAAACAGAATGTTTTTATTGGTGCATAATTTCATCATTTTCTGTGCAGGTCCTACAGCCAATGCACATCTCCATTTTAACTTGTTTTTGATGGAACTGTTGACAATGATTGGTCTGCCAAGGTACACAAAAATCTAATTGTTCTATGGCTTCAAAGATGCTGCATGTCAACATTTTGTCTGCTGCCTCTTTTCCAGCTATAACTGCTTTGTTTCTTGACATTTCATGTCAGGCCACATCAAGCACACTGATATTACAAGGTAGTAAAGGGTATCATCATTAATTCAAACATGCTGGCCGGTGCTGAAATATGCGCATAACCATACATTTTGATGATACAATGTCATGTTCTCCAACTTCCTTGTAATGTCCAGTTGAAGCACAGGATGACAAACTATGATACTCCATGTCTCTTTCTCTTTCATCAAACTTTTACTTGAAGCACTTGCTTAATTTTCTATTTATTCTTGCAAAACCACAGACATTTGTATACATAGCTTTTATTGTTGCAGTAATCTTATTTGGAATTGTCATATCATTTTGTTTCACTCCAGACTGAATTATATGACCTTATGCCGTAAATTGACGTTTTCACTTTTTCACATTTACTTACAGCATGATTGTTTTTGGCATGACAAACTTATGCATATTTGGATTAGCAGGATTTTCTTTCTTCAAGATGAGTGCAACTCTTGTCTTTAATCTGTTAGTTGATATTTATTCCCACATCTTCTTGTATAATTTTTTCTGATGCTTTGATGACACTTGTCCTACCAGTTTTTAATAGCTAGAGCCTGGACACATGACACCTGCTCTGATGTAAATTACACCAGGACCTGGAGTGGATAGACAGAAAGATGTCCAGGAGTAGTTGCTCACAGTGGGTAGTATTACAGTGCCTTGACACGGCCAATACGGCTACAACCTGGATATCTGACACATGGAAGATATTGAATTTTAGCTGATTTTTAAAAATTGAAATTTTAATAATTTCCCAAGCAGAAAACAACTTTCACCATCTGAAACCTGAGATACTTCTTCTGCCTTTGTCTAAGGTAATTTGCATCATCACAGCCTCACAGGAGAGCTGAGAGACTCTTTACCAGCTAAGAACTGCCTGCCCAGAGGAGTTTTCCATCTATTGACTCCTCTGTGAAATCCTATGAAATATGAACTTTCATTTCTTCCCAGGAGAACTTTTGTAATCTTTTTTCAAATGCCTGATAAAGGGTGTTTGTGCCTGAAAGCTTGCAATTAAAGAATTTTTTTTTGCAAAAATCTTGTTGGTCTAATAAAAGATCACCTCTACCATAAGCCCTGATTGCTTTTTCCTCTAGACCAATATGGCTACAACCTGGATACTTGACACTAGGTGGCAGGAGAACAGATCATAGCAAACATAAAGCTTATAGCATTGTAGCTACTAGTATCATTTTACTCTTGATTTTTCCCAGAGTAACTATACCACCTTCAAGTAAGCTATGCTGGTGTAGCCTTGTGAATTATGTATTTGCTCCTTGTTCACACAAATGTAAAACTAATTACAAATGTAATGGGTCCATGACCAAAACTGATACATTTTGTTTTGAAAGAGTTGTGGAAAAATCTAGATTGGTAGCTTTTCCTGTGTGTTCCGATGCACCTTTTCATGAGCAAGCCAGATGCTTCATATGACAAACAGCACACCTGGCTTTTAACAGTCATGCCTTTTATATAATGTTCAGGTACAGAATATATCATCCTTAGAATAGAAAATGTTCCTCATCAGTCCTCAGGACTCTTCTGTTTATTCACACTGACATTTCCAAACCCCTTTTGAGATCAATGGCCTGCATGCAAAGAGTATGTCTTAGTATTTTGATAGTACTGTGGACAGTATAGGAATTGTCATACCGGATAGGTTCAGTGGTTCATCTGGTCTAGATCATGCCTCCAACAGCAGCAAAAGCCAATTGTACAACCAGTTTTCCCCTAACAAATCTGCCTGTGGATGTTTTCATTACCTGCAGAAGTGCCTGATCCAGTTTTGAAATTTGTTAATGCTAAGACTCAGGAACATGTAATGGTAGTGAGGGCAATAGTTTAATTGTGAATTAGATAAAAAGTGCTTTTATCATTTTAAATGTGTTAATTTTCAATGTCCGCAAATGTTTCCTTGTTGTTCTATTATGAGAGGCCAAATAAAAGCTCGCTGTTTTCTGTGCCCTCTCCTGTCATTCATAATTATGTACATCCCTTTTTTGGAGAGAGAAATTTAGCACTAAATATCTCTGTTATTTGAGTTGTAAATTCCTTCCATGTGTTGTTTCTATAATCATGATTCATTATACAAATAGATGCAGTCAAGCAGTTCTATTCCAGTAAACCATGTGGTTTATTTCACTTCACCCCTCCTACATTTTTTGCCCTCATATTGCCCTAAACAGCATCTTGCTCTTTAATAGTCCCCTATCTCCTGTTGTTTAACAGCTCCCTTTCTTCTCTTATTCTTTTGGACAGAGCAGGATATAAATAAATAATTTCTTGGTTCTCACTTTTTTTCATGTTGCCTGCTCAGGCTAGAACACTCTCTCTTCTGGTGTACCAAGAACCATTGTCTTAAGGAAAGGAAGCTCTTTTTTGGTTTCAAGGCACCCCTCCATAACTTTTGTGAATTGTGTGATATTCAATTTCAAAAACTAGGTTATATATTACAGTGCTTACCTCCTTACACAGGAGCTGGGCCATAGAAGTGAGAGATAGGGTTAGGGTTAGGGTTAGTGAGAGATAGTCCAGACAGGGACAAGCCTGAGCCTGGTTTATTTGCCTATCTCTTCACACTTTGGGGGGGGGCACCCTTCAAAGGATCTGGTAGCATCCCAAGCTGCCCCAGCACCATGGTTGAGAATCACTGCTTTAAAACTTACTCCTTTATCTCTACATTTTCCTGGGCCTAAACCATTGTCCAATTTGTTGTGTGTGTTTGAGAGTCTCCTACAAGCTGCTGTGTCCATTCAGTTCCCACTGAATTCAGCACTCTGTAGTAGAGAGTGTTCAGCAGCTCACAGGACTGAGACTTCAGCTAGTTAGCTCGCATGGGCTGGAAGTTTGATGCAAATTTATCAAAGTCAATGGAGTTAGACCGGTACGATTTTGGTCCTTGGGCTGTTTTGGATTATGGTGGACTGTGCTCTTACTGCTCTCTGTAAAAAAAAAAAAAATGTGTTTAAGGTGAGAAAATAAAATGAAACCCCAGCTATATGCATGGTTAGGCACCCTTCGACTCACAAGTTATTCACAGCTCTCCCACCCAGCCACATGAGTTTTCCAGTGCTTAGTACATTCTACACACTTCCTTTTTTTTTTATTACAGCCCAGCACATACTGAGTCATTCTGCACTTTACATGAGGGAGGGGAGGGGGCATTTCCTGCAGCTAAGAGACAAAATTTGCTTTTCAGAGGCAACTTGCCTAACTTGGTCTACCCATATTCACTATGTAGGGCTGCAGAATGCAAAAAGTCTATTTTAGATGAGTCAGGAAACAAAAATTAAAGGACAATGTTTTAAAAAATTCCTTTTTACAAGATGTTTTTCACTTGCTTCCTTTGCTATCACTTTGAAGACCATTTTGCATGACCCTCTCTGAAGGAGTGTTTGTGCTTCTGTGGGGGATGATAAGACATAATGGGTCTTACCCCACCCACTTTAACCACACAACCTTTTCCCCTTCCTCCCTTGCTTTGTGTTATCCTCTTTCTTTTTTTCTAGATGGCAGGACATATGGGAGGAGGGATAGCGGTCTTCTCATTATCATTGCACTGCAGAAAACACATACAGAGACACATCCCTTTATACTCTAGCCACCTTTCTTCTAACTTCTTCCTCACTTTCCTAGAAGTGTGAGGTGTAAACACAGCCTCCCTCCTGTTAAAAATTGCTATCAGCTTCTTCAGAAGTACTTCAACATAACAGAGAATATCTGTTTTATGTATTAAATCAGCAGCGTACACGCAGGGCATCAAACTATGGTGCCTGCTTAAGAAAAGCTGGGGGGGGGTGGTCCAAGGATGTGCCTCAAAGTTTGTATCTTGTAATTCTTCTCACTATCCCACTGCTGAAGCCTTTGCTCTTAATCTCAGTCCAAGGACTACCATGCTAAGAGCTGATATCAATTTTTAACAGTGGACATAGCTGTGTTTACACCTTACACTTGTAGAAACGTAAGGAAGAAGTTAGAAGGAAGATGGCATAGAGTGCACTCTCAGCAAGTCTGCAGATGACACCAAGCTGTGGGGAGAAGTAGATATGCTGGAGGGTAGGGCTAGGATTCAGAGTGACCTAGACAAATTGGAGCATTGGGCCAAAAGAAATCTCATGAGGTTCAACAAGGACAAGTGCAAAGTCCTGCACTTAGGACGGAACAGTCCCATGCACCAGTACAGGATGGGAACTGACTGGCTGGGCAGCAGCTTTGCAGAAAAGGACCTGGGGATTACAGTGGACAATCACCTGTATATGAGCCAACAGTGTGCCCTAGTTGCCAAGAAGGCTAATGGCTTACTGGGCTGCATTGGTAGGTGTGTTGCCAGTAGGTCAAGGGAAGTGATTATTCCCCTCTATTCAGCACTGGTGAGGCAACATCTGGAGTGCTGTGTTCAGTTTTGGGCCCCCCACTACAAAAAGGATGTCGACAAATTGGAAAGAGTCCAGCAGAGGGCAACAAAAATGGTGAGGGGGCTGGGGTACACAATTTATGAGGAAAGACTGAGGGAACTGGGCTTATTTAGTTTAGAGAAGAGGAGACTTAATAGCAGTCTTCAACTACCTGAAAGTGGGATTGAAAGAGGATGGAGCTATGCTATTCTTAGTGGTCGCAGATGACAGAACAAGGAGCAACCATCTCAAGTTGCAGTAAGGAAAGTTTGGGTTAGATATTAGGAAGAATTTTCACACTAGGAGAGTAGTAAAACACTGGAACAGGTTACCCAGAGAGGTGGTGGAAACTCCATCCTTCAAAACTGAGCTAGACAAAGCTTTGGCTGGGATGATCTAGTTGGGGCTGGTCCTCCTTTGAGCAGGGGGTTGGGACTAGATGATCTCTGGAGGTCCCTTCCAACCCTTATTTTCTATGATTCTATGATTCCTTTCTTCTCTTCTCATAACTGGAATGTGTATAAAACCAGGAGAGTCACAAGAGACCTCCTTCTCCTGGAGCTTCTCCTGATTGGCCTCTTTTAAGGATCCTGCTGTTGTTCCTTAGGCTGACAGGTTAACTGGTTGCCAATGACATCTAGCTCAGTCTATTTAGCCTTTCTGATAACAGTGGGTCTCTAGAGAGTATTGTAATTAAATAAATCATCGTGACATTAGAAGCATTCCCTAATGCTTTTTAATGCAGAAACAGCTCTTGTTTTGTGTTTAAAATGAACACCGTTGTTACTTTAAGATAGCTTTCTTAAATTTAACATTACCTGTGCAATTTGGCAACAAACTACTCTACATAAGTTTACCATATATCTTGCTATCTTGCCTAACTATTAGAAAGGGCTATATTGTACCCTGCACCTGAACGCATATTAGCCTCCATTAAAACCCTGTTTATTTTGTTCCCAGTCATGTTGTTGATTAGTGCTGGTTACCTATTCACCCACTTCTAAAGTCTGAAGTAGAAAAACAGGCAAAAGTGTGGTATGTGTTCAGGGAACAGCTTATCCAAACTCTTATTTAGGTTACAGATTAGGATCTACTACTAGGAAACTGGGAACAGTTGTAAACACATTCATAGATTCATAGATGTTAGGGTCAGAAGGGACCTCAATAGATCATTGAGTCCGACCCTCTGCATAGGCAGGAAAGAGGTCTGGGGTCAGATGCCTATATAACCTCCTCTTGAAGAACCCCCGGGGAGGGG